AGTGGATCAATTCTTCGTTATTATTAATTGAAGAATATAAAAAGTTGCCTATATTATGGGATGTTAAACATTCTTTGCATTATTAAAAAATCAAAAAAAAACGCATGGCAAGACCTTGTAAATAAAATTAATATTGAATATGTCGATATTAATGAAATAGCTATTCTAAAATTTGTATCTTTTGTTCGTAATTTTTGGTGTTATTAAATTTTGTATATATTCAAAATCGGGCCTGGTTATTCTTGTAAAGTTTTTGAACTGATCATAGCCCTCCTCACTCCTCAGACACTAAGTTGTTGCAGTAAATTATGTCAATTTCTAAAAATTTGGGTTTGCCACCAGCGACGATGTTTTCGATTTTTCTCCTTTTTAATAATTAAGCTGTGCATAACAATGACTGCAGCTTCGACTATTTCTTGGTCGTCCATTATTTTCACCAACACAACTCTGCTGTGCGCGCACAAATGGATCACTTCGTTCGTCGAAAAATAAGTTTTTAATTTGAACGGGGCCGACGCTCAGCTCGTGCGTGTTCAAGTCTAAACGCACCATAAGAATCACTTGATACAACATTCGCAACTTATTTTACGGCTAGAAATTTTCGCATTTTATTCAGTCTGAGCTGGCACATTAATATCACTAAGCCTTTTAAAATATGGCCCTCTTGTTTTTTAAAGCTACCAGCAACTGCTAAATTTATTGAAATCCTTGTGAAAATAGTACGATAAGGCTGTATCCTTTCAGAATACAATGTTCTATAACTTGCGCAGGCCATATCAGCATTTTTATTATTTTTAAGTAAACATCATACATATCTCGTGTTTCCCCACTTATGAAAACATTGTTGACTGTTAATACACTTTACACTATCTACTATAAATTTTTGTGTGCAGATTTGACACTTAATGGAGTAAACAAAAATCGAGACAAAAATTAACTTGCTGTCATATAAAGCGTCAATTGGATTTCCAAGGCAGACTTGATCTTTTCATCGAATTTTTAAAAAATCGATTTTTTGGTGAATTTACATAATAATGAATAAAAATTAGATACCACGGTATAGATTAATTTTTGCTCTATCTAATAGTATACAAATTCAAAATGGCGGCCATAAGAAAACAAAAACTTGACTGTTGTTGTGCGAAATCTAGAAAGCTTAGAAATTTTCTGAAAACGGCATGTAATTGGCCGAGGTCAAAAATATAACTCTACCAACTTACGTTAATAGATACAATAGTTCTAAAGATATCGACGGCGTCACGACAAAAGGGCGTAAGCGCCTAAATAGCGAAAATGAGATTATGGTTCCAAAATGTAATACTAATAAATGCGCACCTATCTATGAAACGGCTTAACCAACAAAAATTCTTAACGTGAGAAAAAAGACAGTTTTAGTTTCTAACCGCCAATACACTTTCAATCCAGACTCGACGCGAATATCAGTAACCGCCATTCACACGTGTTGGAAGGTCGCTTACGCCTGGGATGAAAAAATACCATTTTCCATTCAAAGGTACGTAGAAAAACTTATTAATAAGATAGGTCTTATTCATATTTGGTAGCCTAGATTGTTTTTTGTGCTTCAATCTTATTCAAATAGTGAACACCGACATTTATTTGTTATTGTCGGTTACGTCTTTTCGTGTTAATTTATTTGGTTTCCGTAAGCGCCATCCGCCTATGTGATCGTAATGGCATATTTTTTTGCTTTTAACAAAACTACCGTTCAGCAGATTTCAAAAAATTGTAAAATATCTAAATTGTATACAATATTAATTTTCAAAAAAACCTTTGCTACAAGTCAAAGGACTTTTTCTTGATTGTAATAATTGTTTGAAATTTGGTTTTTTGATGTCGCTTAAGCCTTTTTTATATTTTTTCTCCACAGTGTGATAATGACTTCCCGCGGGAAGAAAATCAGAGATTTGGCATTAAAATGTGGAAATCAAAAGGTTGAGGTTGAGAGCGATATCATAGATAATGATCTTCTGGCAGAATCATTGCAGCATGATGCGCTGTTGGAGTCAGAATTATTCATGTTAGAAGAACCACCTTTTGCCACCAACGAGGAATAAGGATCAAGTTTACCCGTGTTTTGCTCAGAATATTAGTTAAATTTAATTTTCCAGTTATTATTTCAAGCCTAATGAGTTTGAAAATATTGAAAGCATCAGTTTGAGTATTTTGTACTGTGTTTTCTTAAAAACATTAAAAAATCCAAGCGACATTTTTAATTTTATTTGTAAAACTCAAAAGGCGTAAGTGCACCTAAACGACAAAAAATGACTAGAATAATAAGACACAAAAGTCTTAAACGCCTTTCAAAAAGACGTAAACGCCAATCGAGCCTAGAAAGAAAGGCTAAGCGCCAAATATTAAAATAACTAATTAACAGTTTAATATTTTATAAGCAAAAAATTCTTGAAAAATGTGCCATATAATCTATAATACTGTAGCAAAAAATAATTCACAAAAAATAAAAAATATAGATTTTAGACGTTTTTTTCGTCTCCTGAAAAAAATGACGAATGGCGCTTACGCCCTTTTGTCGTGACGCCGTCGATATTGTCATTTAAAATAAACGTATTATTTGCATTTTTTTTACATAAATCCGAAACTAATCAAGATACAGGGGTTTTCTTCATAGGTGGTTGTCAAACATCTAATTACGCAACTTTTGTCCCATATAACCGAATTCGTATCTCTCGTAGTTTCTGAGATGTCCATGTTGAGCATCGAAATTGTCACCACCCTATATAGGGTGTCACAGGCTAAGTGTGCATTAGAAGTTTCTATAGAACTACAATATCTAAATCGGAGATAGCACAAACAACAAATTTAGTGATTACTACAGCCACTAGACATAGAGAGAAGGCATTTGGCTATCTATTTCAAAAATCAAATTGTTTGAATGTCATATAATATTGGCTGCCATGGAATTATGAGATTAAATAATTATCATAAATGATTTTTTTTTCAAATGGAAACCCACTTTTCTATTTCATAAGAGAAAATGATTTTCAAATCGTTACTTTTTGATTATACATGTTCCTATATATTAAATAAAATCGTTTTTAAGTTATTTAAGAATTAGTTTTAAAGCGTAATTGTTTCTTGATTTTATCTAGCTTCCTCTGACATTAAGTGTCAGACCATCAGACAGTTTATTTCGTTCTGTCAAAATAGTATATTGTTTTATTAGGAGTAAAAATAAAAATAATGAAATTTAAATTGTTAAATCATTAAAATCAAGCAATTAATAGCAATAAAAATTAAAAAAAAGGGAATTACTGACTGGACAATCATGTAATAGTTTTAAATGAGCAGAAAATATGTAATAGTTCTAAATGAGCAGAAAATTTAGAGGTTTATTTCACTCAAATAATTTTCTAATTGAAAATGGAATAATATATGATTAAATGGTAGCTATTTGATCTAAGAGCTACTACAATAAAACGACAACATTAATTTTAACTGGCCAGTGGAAGGCGATAAACATAAACGAGAATAGGCAATAGATTTCTGATAATGAGTAAATTAGTCAATCGTAGAGCCAAAATGTCCGCGTACCTTGGTTTCGGTCGATACGGACTGACTGAGATAATCCTAATGCCAAATACAGCCAAATCAAGACACATGTTTGCAGTTAATTTATTAACCTGGTATCAATTAAGCTGTCTGTTTCACCTAGACTCTATTTGTTTTGACAATTATGTAGATGAACAGCTAGAACACATCAAGATCGTACCAAAATCTAAGTATTGTTCAAGTTCAAAAATCATTAATTATTAATAAAAATTATTAATAAATTAGAAAATGTTGTAACAATAATTTCTCTTTTGAAGTGAAGCGATAGGAGTAAAAATTGTAGGCCGCGACACACGAGATGACAAGATAAATTTGCCTAACCGACAAATCAGGAGGTATAAATATAATACAACTATTCAAAACATTTTTTTTTTGAATTTAAAAATTTAAATAGTTTTTTTTGTTCATTGTATTTCTTTTTGCTTCTGATGGTAGGAGCAGATATACCTCCTAAGTTGGTTAAGCATTTTGTGCCGGTTAAACAAATTTTCTCACTAGTAAAATACGACTGACAAATTGGACTCCATTGGTTCAACGCCAACGGTGTTTACAGAAAATAACTTTTTATTTTCAAATTCACATTCAAATTCAAATTCAAATTTTAAAAATTCAAAGTACAAAACAAAGTTATTAGATACATATATTTTCAGAAATACCATATTTATCATTCCCTTACAGACGACGAACTTGCTTAAAATTTTGATATGTAGTGTTTGAAAGAAGAAAGTTTTGGAAGAAAAAGGAATGTAGAACGAAGAATGTATGGAAGGGGGATTAATCACCGCGACCTTAGAGATCTATTGTCCCCTGACAGTTCTATTTTGTCCCCAAGGCAAGAAACAGGAAAGAAAAAAAAAGAAAAAAAAAAGGAAACTTGCATGACATTTTTTGTCCAAACAATGATAGATATAAAAAATGCAATTTAATTAATTTATAAATTATGTACTAAAAGTCAATATAAGAATAAACTGTAACATATTTTTCCTTTTTGTTCTAGGTGTTTGCCTTATAAACCATATAAAATTGAAACATTGATATACTTTTTTTGCGAATACAAATGTTGATATATTTGACTGCAGTTTAGGTGATATTAAGAAATTTTTTTAATGAAGAATACTTTGTGTTTATGATGTTCAATTAGAGGTATTATATTTCCATTTATAGTTTATGTACTTTTTAGCTAAGTTTATATAATATTATCTCTGTTAGGTTTAGTTATATTAGGTTGCTGGTGTTAGCAAATTTTGTTTATTAGTTATTTAGTGAATAAATAAATATCATTACAATTTAAACCCTCATATAGCAGAAAAAATCTAACATTATATAGTCATTAATAGTGGACTTCTGCAAAATTAAAATGCAACACTTATCAATACATTTTATTAGTTTCTTCTATACAAAAATAGAAAATATATAATGCATTTAGTACCATTTATTGATATAATCTCTTATACAGATTTTATTTTAGAAGAAATAAATTGGTATTATTTTAATAGAAAATTTTATCATAGCAGAAAGATCTTTTTTGTTTAAGTTACCTGTTATTTACTTCGAATGATATGAAATTTAATTGAAGGGCAAGCTTCTAGTAAATTTATAAATCAAAGAGTAAGCTCTTTCCGGTTGATCAGTAGGTACCATATGTCCTGCATTTCTGACCAAAAGTTCTGTGAGGTTACCAGCTGTTTTATAGTATCCAGCAACACCCTTACTGTCAATCCAAATATTCCTTTCAGCTGTCTTATATTCTTCTGCGGCGCTGAAATTCAAGTTTTGCAAATAGTTCACTGTCATTGGATAAGCAACGATAATATCAACTTGTCCACTGTAAATCAGAACTGGATAGTTACTGAGCAGTTCCGATACCCAGGGAGCTACACTTTTGGAAATATCGTCGTACAAATACTCGTATACAGGTCCATTACCAAACTCCGTGTTACCAATATGTAGAGCTTTTCTGGCATTTTGTTGTATGAAACTCTGCCAATCGCTGCTAGATTCGTCGCTGTCTTGAAGATAATTGTATACACTATACACCTCAGAAGCTTCAGAAATTAAATCAATTATTTTGTCGCCAAAATATTCGGTTGCACTAGTCCAGTCTTCTTCGGCGACGTATTTTTCAAACAAGGCTTTGTAAGATAATAAGGTGTCACGCGTATTTGCATCTACTAATCCTAACTGATATACATAATCAGCGTAATCGGCTTGGTTGATTGGGTCAGTTAAACCGTTGCCGATAGCTAACCCTTTAAGGTTAATTTTCAAAGAAGCGGAGGGATTGTTTTGAAGGATGGTATAAGATACAGCTGGAACATATTTTCCTGCGTAGGATTCTCCCACAATAAAGAAATCGTTGTTTTGGAGTTGTGGAAACAAAGTGAAAAACTGGATTAAGCCATTATAAAGGTCTTGCCCAACTTTAGTTTGGTTGCTTGCATATCCTGCTTTGTTAGAAAAACTAAATCCAGTACCGACAGGATTATCAAGGTATAATACAGACTGGTTTCTAGTCCACCTATACTCTCTCAAACTGACAGTGTCGTTTTCGCTGACTATAAAAGGACCATGTTCTTCAAACAAACCATACTCGGAAGGCGAACCAGGTCCTCCTTGCAACCAAAGAACTACAGGATCGCTTGCAACGTTATCTTCAGAAGGGAAAAACCAAAAGAATAGATTATTTTCGAACAATTTATCTACGGTAAAGTATCCTGAATAGCTTACAATAGGATCAAAGCTTTCAAATTCAACTTTAGACTCATTTTGAGCCTCTTCTATTTGGCCAGCCTCAATGAGAGGTGTGAGTATAAGTGGATCTCCAACGTCATCAGAAATCGGGAACTTTCTATATTTGAATAGTCTGTCCGAATTGTATCCCCCAATAATCTGAGTAGCATATAATGCTAGATTTAGTAGGAAAATAAAGATCTTCATCTGGATGGCGCTAAATTTTTACCTGAAATTTGATAAAATATTAATTTTATTTTAATTTAAGGATATTAATGATGTGACAGTACGTTTTGTTTATCAGATTATTAAAACTTAAAAGCTACATACATAAGATATGGAAACTAATATCACAGATTGTAGGTATATCTATACTTCGGTAAATTTTTCAAAAAGAAAAAGGTTTTTCATAATAACTCTAATAATTTTATTATAGATATCTTTATGAAACTTGATACACGTATTCTATCCATCAAAATACCTTTTTTAATGTACAATTTTATTCATTTTAAACTGTGCCGTCCAGTTGAAGAAAAAATTGGTACACCACTGACTTCTTTTAAAATAAAAATTATTTTCAAAATCTCCATTAATTTCTACACAATTTTTATCTCTTAATTTTTTCGTCCGGTGCATATATTTATTGCTTAAAAAAATTACCTAAAGTCAGTTTACTTCAGGGTCAAATCGCTGAGAATCTGATGCGGTGACTGTTGTGTGCAATTCGTTTCTGTATTAAGCAAATTAAGAAATAAAACATTTTTTTGTATATCAAAATATGTATTTTGATGCATGGAAGACGTGTATCAAATATAATATACTATCAGAGATATTTTGAAAAAAAAAATAAAGAAAATTACCACCCTTATATGAAAAAATAAAATGTTTAGGAGATACATTCATATGAAGTTTTTTCTCAGAATTGGTCCAAGAATCACCCCCTTAAATATTAGCATGCCATTAAGAAACACCCTGTATGTCGTATCACATGACCTGACGCGACGGGAGTTTTTGTACTCTACAGAAATAAATGGAACATCGAAAATTTGCAACAAAGCGCAGCGCTGACCAGCACGCGCCACTGTAGTTCAGACACAGCTTATCGCGCATCACGTGTCTAGGTTGTTTTCGCAACAAGTGTTTTTTGTTTAGCTTTTGTTAAAAAATATGACAGATGAAAAATTAGAATATGTTTAATTTAGTTTAATTATCATAAACTTTGCATCCTTTATATCATAGAGCAGTTTGTGTAATCTCACCGCTTCTATTAACTTTTCATCTATCATATTTTTTTACCAATAGTTAAACAAAAAACACTTGTTGCGAAAACAATCTAGACACGATGCGCGAAAAAAATGAACTACAGCGGCGCGTAGGTCAGGTCATGCGTGGCGTGCCACGCTGCGCTTTATTGCCAATTTGCGCTGTTCTATTTATTTCTGTAGTTTACAAAAACTGGCGTCGCGTCAGGTCATGTCACACGAGATATACGCGACTCAATTTGCGCTTGGCCTAAAATAAATAAAAAACTATAGAAGAGGTGTACTTCCCGAAACGGTAAGATCTTTTTTGTCCGTTAGACAAATTTGTTTGTTAGTAAATCACCGCTGACAAATTGGTCTCCGTTGGATTAACGCAGCAGTGTTTACAAAAAATAATTATTTTATTTTGTAGATTTTCTTACAGTGCAAGTGGCGAAATACCCAAAGGCCCTTTTTGAAGGAAAGGGATATAATTATTATTCTAAATTTAAAAAAAACAATATTTAATAGAAAAATGTTTTTCGTTCAATGAAAATCAATCATTTTACTGATAAGCTATATGCTAACATTGTCAAGTGTATCATAATTTATTTAAGATAAAATGTAAAAAGCCATTGTAACAATTTATACATATTTTATTATCGTATTCAAATATATAATATTATTTATATTAAATAATATTTACCGTAATTAAGTTATTTAATATAATTTTGTGCTGAGATTAATTAAAATCCACTTCACATTTTACATGATTGTTTCTTATTTTTAGAACTGACATTTAAATGGAATTTTGAATGTTGATTAAATTTCTTTGTTAGGAATTATAAATATTGAAACTTACAACAAAATATATGATTATTTTTATTGATAATATTCATATAGTAGACACGTAGACTACCAATATGCTAAATTGGAAGTGATATTCTTATATTTAGGAAGAAAATATTTAAATTAAAAAATGTATATCTAAAATAGATAATTTAGACTACTAAAAGGGTTTAAAATTAAGACATAAATACCCTGTTTAATATATGAACAGGGTGACACAAATTTGAGGTTGATATTGCGACCTTGGAAACCACAATAGATCGAAGTAGGTCAAATCATGACAAAATTTTATGCTCTTTATGGCATTATGAAATGCCGTATCCCAAGATAAAAAATGTCCGAATACTCCCAAGTATTGTAAAATCGTTTTGAGCTTTTCCTGGATTTATTTGGATAGATATATTAATATAAATGAAAGATCAATTTCAATTTTTTAACTACGAACAGGATTTTCTATTTGTTTTAAAGATTGTGATCTTCCAAACGTAATAATGTACCAGACTTACCCTAAAGTGACTCTTCAAAACATTACCTCTTATGGAAATTTTACTTATTGTACAATTTGTGGACAAGTCTCCCATATCACTTATAAAGCATTTGATCACATCAAAAACTCCAGATCTACCGTTAAGAAAATAATGATGGTGTAGAGTTAACGATGCTCTTTTGGAAACAAAACGTCGGATTGACAATTGGATAGACAATGATGGAGTGGCTTCTATTTTAATATATACCTATCTTCAAACAAAGCCAGGAAATATTTTATTTTTCTTTGAAATCTAGGAAAATATTCGAAATATTATAATTCTATTAGACATAAAATTGTAATACTTCACAGTAATTTATTCTAATAATACTTTTAGTCAACTTTTTTGTATCTCTTATACTTTTCGAGATCCCAATAGCTATCCTCAAATTTGCAATACTTTGATATTGCGTAATATTTTGTTTCAATCCCATTCCATACATATATGAACAAATTATTTTATTTTCTGTCAGAACATGTTATTCAGAGAACTATTGTTACCGTTGGGCATATTTATAAAACTTAAACTATTACTGTGTATTTAATATACCTATAACTATTTGTCTTATGTCTTATAACGACTGTCTGCTTATAACTATTAATATATTTTAATATTTAATCAGTATTTAAATAATCTTGTGATAAACTTAGCTTAGAGACAACACACTTAGATATTAAAGATAGATCACTCACAAATTAAGTTGAGTTATAAGTATGTAAAATTCTAAAAGGCGAACTTACACCAAAAACACTGAAAACTAGTACGCAGACACTCGTGGAGATATTTTTGACGAATAACTAATATCAATTTCAATAAATTCTTATTTATTAATATAATATATCTTATCTGTACATCCACTATCTGGACATATCTATATCAGGGTCGGCTCATTCTCACTTTTAAAGCAATTTAAATTTGTCTTTTAATAGCTATTTAACAATAAAAATATAACATCCTTTTCATTCCTTTTCCTGCCCTATGTTTTTAGATTTTCTATCTGACTTCGTGTCTCATTGCATACGTCATTAGCTGATACTCCAGATTTCAAAGAGGATATTATCTCAGGATATTATTTATGACAGGCTTTTGTCTTAGGCTAGGATAAATTTGTGTGTAGCATCCTTAGTTTCATAAAAGAATAGCAGTGAACCGTATCTTTGTATCTCTACTCATGAACAAGAAACCCTCATAAACACATGAAAATGGGAACCCTGCATCTACAGTCTACCGGCAGGCTCAAGATTTTTACAAAATCAATCTAAACCTTGAGAAAAAACTGTATATGTGTGTTTAGCTTAAGATGTTTAAACAATATTAATTAAGATATTTGTAAAAAGGTTTTTTGAAATTCTTTCCTTACTATGTTTTATGCATAGTGTTTCATGGTAAACCGTTTTTTATATTAAATAAAATACTAAATAAGCTATCTCATCCTCTAGAGACTAAACTACTTGAATTTACCTTTACTTATTCAGCGCGTATTGCAGAACACCAGCTGGAATCGGGTCCTAAATTTGACAAACTGCAGCTACTCCCTAATGGTGGTGCTAATGTGAATATTAAATAGTCCGATAAACATTACACGTATGGCAATTTATACAAATTGAGTTGTTAAATACGAAGCAAAATTAATTTGTTATTCAGTAAAGTGTATTCTATAACCACAAAACAAATACATATTTATATTTAAGTTATAATAATTTAATTCGTAAAATTAATTAATGACGTTTTGCGCCATAAAACTACAAATATTTTGTCAGCTATCTACATTCTTTGTATAACGAAGCCCTTGATTTGATTAAATATATCCACATGTCAAGTTATAACATGTATGGCTAGACGCTGACATGTAATTTCGAGTCGGCCGATTATTTATTTGCAGAATTGAAATTAATACATTCTTATAAAGCTGCGCACATATCCAATCATGCAATCAAATAATAGTCGGCCAATAGAATATATTCTTTTCACTTTTACAACTAATTTATTCATTACACATCTTTTCTGATGCATCATAATACCTCATAATTCTTACTTCGCGAACAGCAAGCCTTGTTTTAAACATGTTATGTTTACAAGATTATGAAGATAAAGATGTCTGAACCAACTGAATGTATTCAGTTATCAAAATGAAATATGTGAACACAAGCAGCGTTGCATAGATATATCTCGTTGTATAGATATATCTTTTGCTTTGCCTTATAGACGAAGAGCGGGCTACATAAAAAACCTTATCATCGTTACATGGCTAATTTTTTGTGTGAAGTATCCTTTTGTGTAGCCACTATGAAATAGTCACGTCTGCCAGCGCGATCCCGGGGCTTAAAGCGGGGGCGGCCAATCGAAAGGGTGAAATTTTGACACTAAAAATATTATAAGGTACACGTGTTATAATTGCGGAAATAGCTTTTATTTATTATTAAGAAAAGTGTAAAACTGTTGACAGACATTTTTCTCGTGGCTAAAATGCCGGCAGACATCAACCCGAAAAAGGCATAGAATTTGACAAAAAAAATCATCGTATACATGCATATCGATTGGTGCAATGTCATTTTTATTTATTTAAAAAGCCGTATGCAAAAGGACAGACAAAAAAATCGTGGCTTAATCAGCGGTAGACAGTTATAAAAAACGCGATATTACTCTACAGGGCGAATCTTGAACAAGTGCAAATATTTTCAGAGCTGGTAGATCTCGATAAAAGAAACATAATATTTTCTTTTTACCGTTTTCCAAATAAGTCCAAAATAACCGAGTTATTGAAGTTTGAAAATTTAAAAAGAAATTGATTTATTTTTAAATAATTTCGCGAGACACCTGCATTCAGTAACTGCTCATACTTGCCGGGACAGTAACTCGACGGGTATGTTTAAACGATTTCAGTAGCTCGCATATAGTTACTGGCCTTCTCGACTGACCCGCTAGCTCGCACCGTGTAAACTCCTTTTTAGTTACGATATTTTTGTCTGCCTTTTTGCATACGGCTTTTAAAATAAATAAATATGACATTCCACCAATCGACATGCCTGTATATGCTACATTTTTTTTTCATTCTTCAAATTTCATTTTTTAATAATTTTCGAGATAATTTTTAAAATTTCATGCCTCTTTCGCGTTGTCTGTCGGCATTTTAGCGGCCAGAAAAATGTCTGCCAACAATTTTCCACGTTTCTTAATAATAAAAGCTATTTTCGCAATTATAACTCGTGTACCTTATAATATTTTTAGTGTCAAAATTTCACCCTTTCGATTGGCCGCCCTCGCTTTAAGCCCCGGGATTGCGCTGGCAGACATGACTTTTTCATAATGGCTACACAAAAGGATACTTCACACAAAAAATTAGCCATGTAACGATGATAAGGTTTGTTATGTAGCCAGCTCTTAGACTATTACGTGGATGTCAAAACACTTCACAGCTCCACGCGCACTGAATAGATATCGGCGAGAGCGAGCGACACGTAATTTTCAGTTTACGTTGAAATAAATGTAAGCCCGCGCACCACATTAGATCGGTGCGCTCGGTGCGCTTCGAGCTATCGACGGTACTCGCGCCATCAGGCGAAATCAGAGAATGCATGGGAGGGGGCGAATAGTCTACGCCGAGCGACTGTTTTTAGTGGAGCGGTTTTACATTAAACATGTCCGATGAATTATTAATCGAAAGTGTACGAGACCATATTATACTTAATATGCGGTTTTTTATAAAAATTTATTACAAACACCTAACCTATATTGTTTACTACACTTATTCAATAACTGACTTAGAAAACCTTCCGATTAAACCCATTTATTTCTCATCTCGTTTTGATTATCTCACATTATTTTGAAAATCGAATTTAAATATCGTCAAAAAACTTATCATATTATTTAATTTTTGGTTTGTTTTGACGTTAGTAATAACAGCTGATAAATAGTCATCTTATGTTACTATGTTGATCGTTCCGTAAAAGGTACAAATAGAGAAAATTATATTTATGTTTGAATAAAATATTTGTACATGTATCTACCGTATGATAGAAAAAAACGGCGTCCAGTTGGATGGGAAATGACGATTGATGACATTTTCTATATAAATTTACATATAAATTGGCACCGACCTTCATTTCATGGTCATCGCTGATGCCGTTCCTTTTCGATAATACGGTACTATAAAAACTATTTATATTTTTTCTTTTTTCAATTTTCTTTGACTTTTTTATTATATTTTAACTTTTTATTATAGTTTATTGAATCTTTGTTTTAAGTCAGTAAAGAATAAAACGAAACTTTTGTTTACATTTTGTTTAATGATTGATGTTTCGACTAATTTTAATTCGGTCTTCTTTAGAATATATAATAATATATAAATATAATATACAATACAATTTTATCACTAACAATGTGTTTAATATATAATTTTTTCTTACCACAAACATAGAAAATTATTTATACGTATATTATAGATTCTGAAGAAGACCGAATTAAAATTGGTCGAAACGTCAATCATTAAACAAAATGTAAACACAAGTTTCGTTTTATTTACTACTGACTTAAAACAAAGATTTTAAAAACTTAAAATAAAGGCTATATATAAATGTTTGTAATGACACTTATTTAGATTAAAAAACTAAAAATAGAAGTTTTATTTGACTATTTTTCATATCTAGCTTTGTTTTTAAAGAACAAATTAAACCCTTTAGAGTTATACCAAATTTGTTAAAATCGGTCAAGCTAAGAGTCATGTAGTATATTTTATCCCCATCTTCCACTCTATTTCACTAATTTTATGTGGTTTGTTAAGATCTAAATATATTAATGTGTGTTTGGTTAAGATCTAAATAATATCAATTTCCATCATGAAGCATAAAATATAAAAAGTTGCATAAAAATATAAATAGTAATAATACTTTATAATTTTTTGAAATGCCGAATGAATTTGACTAAATTTGAATAAACTTCTCCTCGTCTATGCTCAAATTTATGCTGGTGACGTACTCTCGACCGTCGATGGTGTGACTCCAGTGCGCGGCTACAATCGACTTTCCGACCGGTCGTGCCGCTCGCGCCTCTCGCACCGCTCGCTCCCGCCGATACCTATTCAGTGCGCGCGGAGCATTAAGGTGTACGCGCACTGAATCGGTACCAGTCCGGCGAGAAACGGCGAAGGCGGTGACTCGACTATCGTAGATAGGTAGAGGTAGGAATCTGGCCTCTACAGGCCGAAATGTTTTAGTGGACGCCGGCGCCGTCTATATGTACGATGGTCGCAGTCGCTTTTGCTGGTCGGTCCGATCCGATGCAGTGCGCGCAGAGCCTTAAGCGGCCAGACGCGGTATAACTGTGTATTCTTAATCTTAGTAGCATAACCGTAAAAACGCTTATTTTGTCTCAATTTGGTGATGGACCGGAATATATTACTAAGTATTAAGCAATTTTACATAAAAAATGTATCAAAATATGATTATATACTTAGATTATACAATATGATCAAAACAAAACGGCGTCAGCGAAGGCTATGGAATGAAGATCTCATTGTCATTTCATTTTATATTTAAAATTATATGGGGAATGTCATTTCAAAGCCAACTAGACGCCGTTTTTTTCGATCATACGGTATTTTTCCTTTAAAGCATATTTGAGCCGAGGTTTATGTGAAACAGATCTGATATTTTAAAGATGTTTTCAGATAATAATGTAGACAGATAAATATTTCAAAACCCCTTATTTTGTTTATTTTTTGGATTATATAACAAGTTTAAGTAGCATTATATATTTTTTTAAGTAACATGGTGATTGTTTAGTTTTATTTTATGGATATAA